CATCTACTGCCTGTAGACAGATTGTAGGTAAGGTCGGGTTCCATTTGGAAATAGTGTTAAATAGTACTAATATATTAAATAGTGTTACAATTAGTACTAATTATCTTCTTTTGAAATGTTAAGTGATGGTCTCTATTCTGCTAGTTAGGAGAAGTTGTTAATGATGTAAATTATTATTTCTTTTGCTATAATAGAAAATACTTTGTGTTCATGTGAATTGGTTAAAATGACAAAAATAATTTAAAAACTTAATTCTTCTTGTTCTCACTTAGATGTCTAGTATAGTATTGCAACCTTAATAAGGACATCTTTAGTTGCACACACTGGATTTTAACAACCATCCATATTTTCTTTCCCAATAGACACACAAGACAGGCCTATTGGATTTGGTAGTAACATGTAAAATACTAATGATAAAGATATTATAATGGCATCGATAGGGAAGTATGACAAAAGAAATGCTGTAAGGTTTTTATTAAATAAGTGTTGATTCCTGGTATGATATATAAATATAAATTTCTCAAATCATAATATTTTCCTCATTTACTTAAAATAATTATTAATATAATAATGCAGTTTATAGACTTTAACCTATGTACTCCTTAATTTTCTGATCAAGGCAAAGATAAATACTTCTGTCTTTCCCAAACCAAAAATGGCTATTTGATTCCTAAATATACAATAGGTAGGTTGGTTGGGAGAAAACAAGCTGACAAAAGAAATCAGATTTTAGTCAACTTGATATTCTGAGGCCTGCTTTGCTGACCCAAAGAATTACTTAAAAATGATGTTGCAGAATTGCCAGGTTGTTTCAATGAGTTTACCAGTGAATGATAAATATCACAGGAATAGTCTCAGGTCTCATTCCACCCATTCTGAAGCTATTGTACAGACATCTGTATCCATGGGAACCACAATCACTAGCATGAAAGTGTGCATTTCACACCAAAAGGAATAAGAATATATTCTGGAATAGAAAAAAAGGAAGAATGCTGCTGGCAATTAAAATTCATAATTTTAACTAGAACACTTTAGAAATTATCAATTGGTAGGTAGCATAGACACCTAAGGAGATGAGAGATACTTTGGTGCAAGGGCCAGGAGGGAAGGACATAAATGGAGGTAGCTGACTCTGGATGAGCAGCCCTGTATCATTCTGGTGAAAGGTATTAGCAGTTAATAGGAGGACACCCAGCACAGGGATGGGTGAGATGAAAGGACCACCTTGAAAGTGAAGGCCACTGAGAATACTGTCTCTGTTCTTAGGCAGTCTTTCAGCCACTCCTTACTGAATTTGAGGAGCACTAATAAGATATGAGGACCAAATTGGGCATGTAACTGTGTGGTCACTAGCTTGCTTTGGTATGACTTAAAAACGGACTTCCTTTGAAGCCATTAAGAGTGCAAGAATGGGCCTTTCTGTGTAGCTATGGTGGGCCTTACCTTTTAAACAGAAGTAATTTTATGGCAGACACATATTTATATTGATACTAATAAATTCAGAAATGTGCAAAAGTCAGAAGGCACATTTAAGAATATTGTATTTTCTATGGCATGAGAGAAAACTATAAATGTATAAGACAAACAGGAAGGGGATATATAACAAATTACTATAAAAAACATATCGTTTAATTTTCATGACCCGTTTGAGTTATAACCCAGAAACTGTATTGGAAACAAATATTCCAATAATTTTCACTTATGATGATTAAATGGGAGAAATTCATATGACTTGCTTTTCCTGTTTGATGAAAACCTTCCATTTTTTATAATTAGAAGACTCTTTAGTGGATTATGATTTTTTGGGTATTTCCTAACTTGGCATTCTGATTCCAGTCTAATGTTTGTCAGCGATGCTGGTGGCTAACCAGGAGGAAACTGTCCTTGTAGTTAGTCTACACCCCGTTCTCCACTGCAAGGAGCTTTTGTTTCCTCCATAAATTGATTTCACTAAAAGAAAAAAAGTGAGCTTTAGTTAACAGGATGAAGCAATGATCTGTGATGTGATTTGAAAAAGTGTATGGATGGGCCGCCAAGGTGTCACTCTCATCTGTTTTCCCCTAGAGAAGTAGAGCTTAATAGAAATCTATCTAATACATTCATACATACTGGTTAGATTCATTTAGCTATGCTTTGTAATGCAAAGGTTTGTTAATATTTTTGCTGCTCATTTTCCTGTGTATTAGCACTTATATTATTAGCAGATTTGAAATGGACTAAATCTTGAAATGTTGCCCAACTGCAAAAATTCACTTAGGTAGACAGATGCCTTTCTCAGCTCTGTGCATCCTGTTCTTGTTACACCTTTGATTACTACAGCAGGCTTCATTCCTGGGCTATCTTCTAATTTCTTTTTTTTCCAAAATAAATTTTATTTAATTATAAGTTGTTTGCTTTGAACTAAGTTGGACATCTACCTACTTTGAAGAGGAGGCCTTGTTCACATCACATTTTGTGTGGAGTCAGTTTTTTAAAGATACAGAGGCTACCTGGTAATTGAATACTTTCAAGTTAATTCTGTTCCTTTTGGAATCGAATGCCTTGTTCTAACCTTTAACCTGTGGAAAGCTGATGCAGGATTAAAGGGACATTAGACTTTCTAAATGGGGCTGTTGTGATTCTTGAGCATGTGGCTTTTGGAACTAAAACATGCACCTAGTATGGTGATATACATTTATTTTCTTAACTAAATTAGAATTGTGCACTTGTGTCTGAGAAAAGGATATGTTATAGATGTCACTCTTGTATTGTTTACTCTTTGAGTAGAAAATGATGGTAACATTTTAACAAAAGAAACTTTTATTTTGCTTCATTTATCAAGATAGTTCTAGGGCATGCAGAAACTGGTTTGGCTCAGTGGATAGAACATCAGCCTGTGGACTGAAAGGTCCCGGGTTTGATTCTGGTCAAGGGCATGTACCTTGGTTGCCGGCACGTCCCCAGTGGGGAGTGTGCAAGAGGCAGCTGATCAATGATTCTCTTTCTCATCGATGTTTCTAACTCTCTATCATTCTCTCTTCCTCTCTGTAAAAAATCAATAAAATATATATTTAAAAAAATAGTTCTAGGACATATGATTATTTTTAATTTCTTAATTCCTTCCTGCACTGCCTTCTCATTTAGGGAGTGCATTTTTTCCAGAATAATTCTTATAGGCCAGTGCATAAAGACAGGGAGAAGCTCATTCCTCCTAGGAAGTTTATGTGCTGAGCCCAGGCAACTCAAAAGTTTAGAAAAATAAAATACTTAATTAGAATAAAAGTTACCATTTTCCCTTAGTTAATATAACCTATTTAATAAATGCTTTTCCAATTTCTTTATTCAGACTAGTCATCCTAATATCAATTGTTGCTGCATGTTTGAATTTTACCTCATCAAAGTAAAATTTGTTGGCATAGTTCTGTTGGCATAGTTCACTCAGGGATGTACCTAAATGCCCCATAGTTCACTCAGGGATGTACTAAGATGGTGTGGCTGTTGAAGTAATCTGTTTATGGCAATGTTTTACAAAATGTAGTTACAATTGTAGTAACATAATAACGTATAACAGGGAACCTATGTTTAAAATTCTGTGAATGATGGCTCTATGCATGAGAAAAAGAATAACTGAAATTTAACTTCGTCAGAGAGCAGAGGAGAAAGCATGAGAGAGACAGTGCACTGGACTCTGAGACCGTTATGAATTTCATTACTAACTCAACTAGGGATGAGCACGATGATTGAGACTGTGCACTGGGAGCACAGTTAAAAAATGACCTCAGTGACTTTTATTTAAAAGAATGTTATTAAAAATCACTCCAGCCACATCGCCATGAACTCTACTTCATAGTTCAATGATACATTTTACACAGTTATATCTAACTCAATGTCAAAGGTTTTTCAGACCGGCCATTTCCTTTTAATTACAATTGCAAGCTGATACAAATGAAATTTTAGAGTCATGCAGAACTACTTAGCACTTCTGTTGGCATAGTTCACTCAGGGATGTACTTAGATGTCCCATTTCCCCAAGTGGGTAATAACTCTCCCTCCATGTACAAATTCTGATGGACTCACTTAAACCCAGCAGAACTGCTAAACACAATGGGATCCTAGAAGGCACATTTGTGGAATTAAAACTCATTGTAACTTTCATAATGTTAATAAATTGCTTCATTAATAATCAATGCTGATCTTTAAAAAAATCTAGGATGCAGCTTGACTGCTCAAGGTTGGTTAGTTTCTGACGATGTCATCCCAACCAGTTGACAGAGACATTGTAGAGATTTTCTCCCCCCCCCCGCTATAGCAAGGATTACACATCTGTTTTATCAGGCCAAGTAAGGAAAGTTTTAACAGGAAAATATTTTTTGAGGTTTTTTGGTTTTCATTGAAAACCAAGTCAAGAGCTCATATCAATTTTTAAATTTAAAAGTAAAAGGGTGAATGTAATCAAGTTATTACCGGTGAATAAGACTCACTTGAATCTCCTATGTTCTTTGGTAGTGAATGTAAGATATTGTCAGTGATGGGAAAAGTTGAATGGCACCTGAAGTTTTCATTCATTCAACAAACATATATTGATTACTTATTAGGCCAGTGGTCAGCAAACCGAGGCTCTTTGGCCCCTTGTGTGGCTCTTTCACAAATTACCATGTGCGGGCGTGTACATACAGTGCGATTGAAAGAGTACCCTCATTAAGTTAATAACAATGTACCTGCCTATATAGTTTAAGTTTAAAAAATTTGGCGCTCAAAAGAAATTTCAATCGTTGTACTGTTGATATTTGGCTCTGTTGACTAATGAGTTTGCCGACCAGACCACTGTATTAGGCATACAGAGAGGACCATAACATGGCCCCAAATATATGATGCTCATGTTGGTTCCACCTTCAGTGTTTTAAGTTACTTGTGGCTTAACATCTAAAAGATAGTGAATTTACAGTATTAATCAAGTGTGAAATTAAAGCACTGTGTGCAGCCAGGACTTTTTAATATAGACATGGAGTAAAATAGTGGTTTCAGTAGACCTGTCTTCCTCTAAATTCACTCATGACCTGCACTGGGTGGATTTTTTTCTTTGCGGAGCCTCGTCTGACAGCGGCACACGTTTCTTCTGGCTTCTCTCTTTTAATCAAGGGCTTTTTTGCAGGAGCCTTCATTCTCCACATCACCACCGGGTGCCGGGGCCCGGTAGGACTCTGAATCCGGATGATCTTGGTTGAGGCGATGTAAGACATTTTCACTGTTTGCACTACAGCATTCATTAGGTTTTTGGCTGCTTGGATTAGGGAGGTGACGCTGTCCAGCTGTAGGAGGGAAAAGAAAGAAATATTGGTCAAGAGTGCCATCAGGACTCTAAAGAAATTTAAAGTCGTTGAGACTGAAATGCATCCCTTTATTTTTATACCAGAAATGAATGCGTTCATTCTATGTGCAATTATCTACATCAATCTAGCCATCTATGTTTGATCTTTTGAAATGACATGTTAGATTTCTTTCTGTTGGCTTTTAGTGAAATGGGTTCTATAAATTCTAATTAATATTAAAGGTCCAGATGGTCATTGCTTTCCTTGTAATGTTTCTCCCTTTGCACGGGTGCTTCTAGACCCTTCTGTTATAGACGACTATCCACAATAAGAGTTATGTTACATATACGTAATTGTATAAGAACAACAACTAAAAATTTCTCCTCTCAGGGAATTGATAGTTTATGATAAATATCATACACACATATGAATGTATAGATGCATGAATACCACTTATTTTCATGAAAATTTCCTGGGCAATTTCACCTAAAATGAATCTACATTAAACACAGAACTTTTTAATGTATCATACAATGTGTTAGTAAAGAAAGCTAAATCTTTTCATCAAAGTTGGCTTTAAATTCCTAACTTGCCATTTGGTAATTTGGGAAAATCATTTAACCAGTTTCATCCTGGTTTTCTGAAGTATTAAGCTGGAAAAAATGCTTATTAGATTTAAATAAGCGTAAAGAACCTAGTAGGCTGACTGCTAAATAGTTAATTATTTTTAAATACTTAAAAATACTTAAATAATCCCCTTCTTGTGAAGATGGACAAAATTGCTTAATTATCAAGATGCATTAATGACATTACTAAACAAAAACCTTTTCCCCACATGATTCCATTTTTAATTATGTTGTCTGAGTTGTTCACAAATTAATCTTAGAGGAAAATACCTAGAATCCTAGAATCTTGCAAATACCTTACAGCTCCTAGAATCTTGCAAATACCTTACAGCTAAGCCAAGTTGGTTCATTTTTATACAACTAATGCCTCTTCCATAATTTCCATTTGACACGTTGTCACCCACAACCAACTAAGACCGAGAGATATGCCTTCACTATCGCCTCTCTCTGATGTGTGCTGTCAGGGTTTCAACTCAAGACAGCTGCTCTGTAGTTACTAAAATCCATCAGCAGCTGCCTGGCCTGAGTACTCCACCTTTGCAGCTTGCAGAGTCCCATCTCGCTACAGAATAAATGAGAGAAGGGAAGCAGTGAGTGAGGTTATGTGCCTGGAGCAGTGGTCTGGCTGGCTGCGTCCTAGGGGAAAAAAAATTTAATCAGCTCCATTATATGCCACGCCTGAAATTCTTGAAAAGGTAACAACAAAAAAATTGGTCATTTGAAAGGTAGTGATATTTGACAAGTACACATCTTTAAGTCTTCATGTGTATTGAAGCCAGACATGTAAAATCTGTTCATTGGCAGGATGACAAATGTTGGGCAAACATTAAACAGGATTTCATGAAGCACTCATATATACCGTATTTCAGATGACACAGCTTATAAATCTGTTCCTAACTCAACAGACACTGGATTTTGAACAGAACAACACACATTGTCATTAACATTGCTCTGTGGGCAGACTGCAGGCTATAATGGATATTTTAATAATTTTCATTAAAAACCTCCCAGAACCCTTTTGGATTCTAAAGTTCTTTCCGATCTCACCGTAGGAAAACAAAGTTTTTTCCTGAATGGTGAATTAGTATGAATAGTATTGAGGATACTTAGTGAATTTCTCAAACATGAAAATATTTGGTTTGCCTGAGGGCTCTGTATTAGCATAAAGCCTTCCACAGCAGAAGACCCTGCTGTTCAGGATGTCACCAGTGGCTGTGGCTTTCCCAGACTAAACCATTTATTCCCCAATCCTCTTCTTGACTCATTAACCTTCGTCAGGTATAGGCTGTATTGCTTTTTTTATTTTTCTATATAAATGCTGTGCAAAAACTTGTAGTCTACTGAGGATGTTTAAGTGCAATCTGTGCCTTGTCTTCTTGCCTCCCAGAATCAGCAAAGCCCTGTCGGTTCTGTCGTGATCCTATATGCTGGCTTTTTACAAATGCATTTACTTTAAAAGCCAAAATGGCCACAGCAAACCTTCTCTGGGTGACTGGAAAACCCCCAGGACATAACATCCCTATAGGTGAGCATGAAGACCACCGGTTTTGCAGACAGATTAGGACAGTTGCCAGGAGAATACTTTTACTTCATTTGGAAAGCTCATGACATTCCAGGAGGCTCTTCAGGTCTAAGAGCTGTGTGTGCTCAGATGCGTGGCTGTGTCTGCTATTACCAACTCGCAAGCCACACAAGCAATGGGCCCAGGCAAGCCTGGAAAATGGCAGGGAATTTTGCTGGAGGCTCAAGCAGTGGGTCCTACCTACTCACAGCAAATAACCGCGTAATGTGTCTGCGAAAAATCATGCATGTCCCTTTGTCAGGTTTATCTCCATGAAAAACCCTTCACAGGGATGATTCAGCAGAATTATTTCTGTGAAATCAATAGTACATTGGAGTAGGATAATGCATCATATTAGAGACTGTTAAACTTATTGAACAAAGTTCTGAATTTTGCAATTCAGTCAATTAACCTGTGCAGGACAAGAATGTTAATTTACTTGAAAGACCTGATAGAGTAATCAGACGACAAAACCCAGGACCCCAATTTATTTTACTTTATTTTTTTACCATTATAACTCATTTTCAACTGAAAATTCTTCTAGGCAAATGTAACTTGAAATATTTACCATAGAAGGAGTCATTTTTCCTAATATCTGATGACATTCCTGTCTGATCCACGTGAAGTGTTCTTAAGGTTTCAAATGAAAACGAAATTGGATTCCAAGGCATTAAACCTCCTAAAATTAATACATACATATGCATGCGGATACATACACATAGCTTCCTATTTCCCTCTCCCTATTCCATAAAGGGGCCAAAGCATTGAGTAACTTTTCAAAGAGGATGTTGACATAATTTAAAGGCTCATATCCTAAATAAATCAGAGATGTGTTTTCCTACCATAGTGAGTAGGAAGATAGCTGCTTTTCCTATGTTGGTGACCTATGTTTATTGATGCAACACTAGTGTGGTTTCAAAATGTCTGAGCTTGCCAGTCTATTAACAATACCATAAGTTTCTCAGTTCTGTCTATGTCCAAACATAAATTGGGAAGTCCTGTCTCTGTTGTTTTATTTTTATTTTGAGGATCTAAATGAATATAAAGTGATTATGTTCAGTAAGTTAGCTCTTACTTTAACTGTAAGATGTATTTGTAAACAATCCAAATTACAACCATCTAAATAGATTCCTATTCAATATTATCTTTCTACAGGAAGCTTAGTTTATTTTATTGTGGTCTTGCTTCTGTAATATGTACTTTGTGGTTTCAGTAAAGCTACAGTGCAGTTTTGTCCAGATTTAACCATGTTTTCAGACATAAGCTTCAGGTCTATTTAGAGAGATGTCTACAACCCTTTGGTACAGAAAAGGAGCATAACAACAATCAAAGGTATTTTCTGTTTCCTCATAAAATGCCAACATTTTCTCCATGTGACTAATATACATAGACCATCTGTATTTTTACAAAATCCAACATTTCAATGCCTGAGATGTAAGCTTCCACAACTCTGGCAAGCTAGAATGTTAAAATCCTATTGTAATGATTTTTTAAAAGCTATTTTAAAATTGAGTTTTAGAAAGAGAGAGGAAGGGAAAGGGACAGAGTGGGAGCATAACCTTGATCAACTGCTTCCTGCACGCCCCCTACCTAGGATGGAACCCGCAGCCTAGGTATGTGTTCTGACCAGGAATCAAACTGGCAGCCTTTTGGTGCACAGGATGACACCGAACCAACTGAGCCACCTTGGCCAGAGCCCTATTCTAATTATGGATAGCAAAGAGGAATACTGGGGAGAAAAGACATGCTAGTTTTTTTTTTTTTTTTTTATTTTCTAAGTTTCTCATTTATATTTTGTCAGAACAGCAGAATAGCTTATACTGTAACACTCTAACACCCCATATTCCAGACACAATACATCCATCAGATATGTTTGCATGATGAGGATATGTATAAGTGAACTTCACTCCCATTGATGTGAATCTCATCTCCTTGCACCTGGGTTGTCATTTGGGGAAAACATAGCTTCCCAGGCCTGGTGTGAACTGCCATGCCAGCTCTTGCTGCTGGGACTCCTGTGGAGACGAAAGTCTGATGATGCCTGGAAAGATGTAATTCCTGTTCTCTCATCTGGGTAAACTGATACCTAGTGTATCCCATGATATTCTTGTGAGTGTCAGTGTCTATCCTAACTTAATGATCTACCTGGGGTCTTTACATTGCACAGATGCAAGACTCAAAAAAAAAAAAAAAAAAGCAAATATGTGGAGTGTGGCTCCAACTATAACAACAGCCTATACTAATTGTGTGCTTCCTATATGTTGGCATTGTTGATGCACTGCAGTGTTTCCCAAACTTTTGACATATGTGTACCCCTTCTATAATTTTTGTAACGCTGAGTACTCCTCGTACTCATGAGAATGTAGAATTAGGCGCAGCTAAGCACGTTGGTGCAGTGCATAACCCCATCAAACTCCAGTGCAATGTGTACCCCCACCAAACTCTTCCCGTACCCATGGGGGTACAAGTATCACACTTTGGGAAACACTGAATTGTAAAAGAACTGTCGATAACTCAGTGAGGTAAAGACTTCATTATCTCCATTTTGTAGATGAGGAACTAGAGTGCTTGGTAGCGTGAAAGCTAGAATTTGAATCCAGGAAGATTGGGTCAAGTAGTTGATGCTGTTCTAACCCATTCCACAGCCCTCCCTCAGTAATATGCCATGGCCAATGTGTATGTATTTTCAGGTATTCAGTAGTTGGAAAAATTGCACTAACATTACCATAACGTCTACATTTTTTTAAAATTGACTACCTAATAAATGCTTTGGTAAGGTTTTAGAATTTTTCTAATGCATACTGGTACAAAGA